TCCAGTCACTACTACCGCCCTGGCCAGCCTTCAATGGAGACTATAAATTCATGAATTTGTATTATTATTTTTCCCAATTTGTTCGCTTCATATTCTGTCTTCACAGCTTCCTCAGAGAAATATTTGGTTATCTAGTGTAGATCCAGTCTGTGTGACGATAATATCGGTTAACCAATCAAACTACAGAATTGATTCAAGAAATTTGAATGAAGTGGAATAATATTTCTCAACTCTAAGCAGTTTTTGGGACCAGATTATACGGGCAAATTTTCAGAGAAATAGTAAATCTTTTATTATAGTAGGTGGAAAATATTATTTCCATAATTTTGGGTTCTCTAAGCAGGATTGTTGAATTATAAAGCTCCTATTATATTTCTCAACAACAACGTCAGAGTCATCTTTATCAATAAAAGCCTCAATCGAAAATAGAAGTTTCGATGATTTCCATGTTGAAGGTACTATTGACCAGCCACCAAAAGTTTCTACTTTTGACTGCTTACCTGACTCGTCAGTGATAACTCTTGTGAAATGACAGAAGTATAGAGGTATGAGAAAAGTAGGAGGTGTTATTGTTGCATTTCATGCATATTTGATTATTGTGAAGCCCACATACAATAATCAGATGATGTTGAGTACTATGAATGTTAATTTCGTTACTACTCGACATTAGTTAAAAGATCTTTGGGAACCAAACAGCGCTGTACTACTGTTTCGCCTTAGTTTATGACTCTCCTGCAAGGCGCGCCCATCACCTTATCAATGATCGAACTCAGTAGGTTTATGTCACAGAGTCAAACGATTTTGGTCCTTGAAATTAATCCGAATTCCAACAAAAATTAAAATTTGTATTTCAACCACCATCTCATTGTTGACTACTGTATGAATATCCTTAAGTTCCAGTGTGAAATCCTGATCGATGGGATCTACGATGTCAGGGTAAAGCTATTCTGCTTAATTGGTCATCGTATAATCCCACGAATAGACAAAATTTAGATTTTGTGAGTCTTTGAATTCTGACTCACTAGTAGGTGAATAGAAAAGAGACTTGGCTCGTAAAGTGGAGATCTTAAGTTCTTTACTTGAATGAGTCACTGATTCACACCACTGAAATAACCCAAACTAAAGTGAAACAGCAGTTGTGCTCTCTTTGATTCTCTCTCCATGATTATCTGACTATTGTGCGTTCCTAACGAAATGCCAAAAGGCAAAATCAAAATGTTAGGGTAAATTCTCAGTTTATACCATTCGAGGTAATTATTTTCCCACAGTTTTCCGCGAAAACCAAGATTACACAGGTTAAAATATGTGATCTACTTGACACCATGAATGGTAATCAAGAAATGAAACATGAAAGCATAATACTTTATGCTAATGACAGGTTGCCACTGTTGGTTGTATAGCACTAGCATCAACCAGGAGTGCGTGCTAGCCAGTCAGATCAAAGTGGCCAAGTTAAACATTGAGCACCAGTAAATGCTAGTGGAGTGTACTGCACTCGTTGACTTTCAAACACTCGCGGAGCAAGTTAGAGAAACCTGGTAAATAATTTCGTCATCATGAATTGAATATGCTCAATGAAGTTTAATGCTATTTAATGGGATATCTGGCAAGTTTCAAGTTGGGTTTTAGAAAGGTTATGTCAAGGTTTAGGCTAAGGACAGGTGAGGGCTAGGTTAACCTAATAAAGGCGATATTAAGATTGGTTTGAACTATAATGGGCTTTTTTAGAGATAATTCAAGTTAGGATTAGGTTAAGGAAGGATTAGGGTTACTGTTAGGATTAGACGACCTAGATGAATACATCCATAGAATGTTGATACTCCAGCCCTAAACTAAAAAGGTGTTTTTGTCACACGTCAGAGAATGGTACTCTGTTTAGCAGATTCATGCCTTCTAATAAATTATTTCCATGCGCATATGTATTTAATACACAAAAGTCGCCTTTATCATGTGGTTGGTGCGCTCAATGTCGTTTGTCCGTTGGTACTTACTGCTGCTTAAAGTTTCACTTCGCCATCAAAGTGATCTAAATAGGGCCGAGTTCACGGGGATGTACCTGGTTAGACTCTGTGCTGAGATACCTGATTTATTTCGAACTGCCTGATTGCTGGCTAGTTACTGGGTGAACCGGTAACACCGTAATATCAAGTTCGCATTTTCCGAATTCATTTTCATTTTTCACAGTTTCAGGAAAGTGATTTGATGTGAGCGGCAAGCAACTACTCACTTCAATTAATCAGTAGTATGCAGTGTAATAAAACTTTAGACCACGATTTAAGCAAGCATACACATATTCTCGGTGAACTCTCATCAGACATTACGATTGTATAATAATATATCCGTCGTATACATTTGAAACAATGTGGATCAATAGATTCAAATATAATCAAGGAGAATGCATGTAGATCAATAATAATTGTGAAACTAAGGATGAAATATGCACCTATAGCACAGCATGATATTGATAATGCAGTTAGCGATGCAAATAACAATAATATTTATAGTTATCTAGTGTCACCGGGATAACTATTCTAGATTGGATTTGAACGCCCATGTGGGTGGAAGAGGGATCAACCAAACTTTTTCTGAACACAAAGATTTGATTGAAAAAGTTTTATGGCAACTACCTCAGCTATGCTAGACAATCAAAGGTGTATAAGCTTAGGGAATTCAGGTGGCACCGAGGATAGATTTTGAGAGCTGCATTTTTATCAGTCTTGTGTATCGTATCCACAAATTGTATCCATCAATAACTCCTGACTGACTTTACGACTCCTATACATAAACACATTGTACAATGCTCAAGAAGGCGATGGTGCGCTTTCTGAGTCTCTCTACCCATATAAATGTCTCCAGGAGAGCAGTTTAAATTATGAATATCCACTGAAGTCGACATATCCGGCAGCTTATCCTTCACCTTCATTGAAGTTATACAACGAGTGATGTTTTCAGCTGTTATTTTTCTGTTACTTGGTGCCAGCAATCCAGTAGCTCTACTCCCTTTGGAGGATAAAATCATTTATACAGATATCTTACTTCTGTACAGTTTGCAGGCCTTTCTCTCTATGTGGTCTCATCATGAAAACTTTAACGAATTTTTCTGGATATCCGTATTCATCTATGATACGTTTTCTGTCTTCCTTATTTCCTCGTCAGGAGTTTCGGTTGTTTCATGCATTTATTTCCCTTGATGAATTTGAATAAAGTAAGAACAACAGTGGTTTGTGCAGAATAATATGGTACTATCATTGTGTATTTCGTTGGCTTCTCATCAGCTGCTTACAGCCTAAATAAATTAATAATAAGTTCATGTACAGAAAAGTTTTAACATACTTTACATGATGTCAGTTGACAGAAAGTTCCTCAATTAGTGAACAGTGCTCAAAACAATTACGTGGACATAGGTTTTACACAAGCAGTTCAAGTTTAAACAAAATAAATGTATGCATACAATGGTAAAGGAGTTATGTAATAAAGACGAGAGATACGTAAGATGCTGAGTGACTAATAAATTAGGTAACAATGTACTGAGTTCAACTTAAATCATAGAAGCAAGAGACAAAGGGGTGATGTTAAAGCCAAAGATTACGTAACCAAATGAAAGAGAGAAAATAGACATCCAGTTACCATGGCAAGGAAAGACTAATAACCGCTTCTTTCTGAACACATAAATCTGGTTTCAAGTGTTTGATAGAAATTGTTTCAGCAAACTTGAGTAGAATCGAGCTCCTGTGGCTATTGATAATTTTAAAGGATTTCGCGATTTCCACCTCCAGACCCTTATCAAGGAGATGTCTAGTAATATAGCTATTATAAGAGTTTGTCCCATTGAGACGAAGGCATTGAGGCGAATGTTCAGAAAATCGGAAGTGTGCCCTTCTTCTTTCTGTAACTGCTACCGCAGATACACGTAAATTTGTATACACACAATTGAAGTTAACATGAGAAGGGTATCTATCGACTTTTGACTGTATGTTGTTGAGCATGTTGTTCGATAGACGGGAGCCGACTTAGCTAGCTGCAGGATAAGCTCTAGCCAGTGACATACAGTCTTCTGTTGACCATTGCTGCAATGTTTTCATCTTTTAAGTCCAGTTGAATGATTTGTTGGATGTTCGAGCCTTCACCTCTTTCATATTTGTTAATAAATCTTTGAGGATAACTGTTGTGCAGATCTTTCTAGTATTAAACATCAGGTTGTTGTACATATGGGGAACAAACAACCTATAGTGAGTGAGTGATTTCATCTACATAACACTCCACTGAAGTGAACAGTAAACATACATACTCCAAGTTGGCTCAGTAATTCAAGTTTATCAAATATTCGATGAACAATAAATTTTTTTTTCAAAACATTATAAATCCACATTTTTTGATTAATTCTATCGTGCACCAAAAATTCCAGTATATCTTGCCATATTCATAGAGTTTTTTCTCTTAAAGTATGCAAAATTCTCTTTTTTTTGACATTCCTTATTCGTTTCTAAATTATAAAAATACTTACAATATCCTATTTATTACTGGAATTACATACCTACCTAACTACCAATTTACTAGTCATGGCTTTAAAATCGTTATTGGACAAATCTTCATCAAAAAAAGGAGAAAAGTTAACGATATTGGATGAAATCAAGAAGACTCCCCTACAGTTTGCACTCTGAATTGAATTGGTTGGGTTTCTTTGACATTTAAGGTGCCTTGGTTGTTGGTTAAAACACGCACTCACGCACACACACGCACTCATAGGTTAGTTTTTTCAGTGTAGCACAATTCTGGAAGTTCCTGTGTGTGTGTGTGCACAAACTGACAGCGTATGTGCAGGTATTATATGAAACCAAACAACACAACACAACACACTTTGGTGAACATGCGAAAACACAGAACCAACGATTTCTCTCTGTGTGTGTAAATAGGCATGTTTTAAAGAGGATATGCAATAAATCATGCTACTAGGTATTGTAAAAATCGTATAAAAATAGGAGTAACAGCTAAAAATTTTATTTGTATTACATCACATTTTGGAATTATGAATTGTAAAAATATCCCATTAAAATTTTAACTTTTAACTGACATATGGATTTTATTTCATTGAAATAAACATTAAAACTTAAAACAGACAAGAAAATAGTGAAAATAAAAAAACAAACAACGAAACAAGGGATAATGCCTAAACAATTACAGGGTGATACTACCACCGCAGCAACCGCAACCGCCAACACTCCGACGTCGACGACTGATGTCGTCGTGAATAAACTATCCGGATTTAATTTACCAAATAAAAAATGGAATGTCCTACGTACCGGTGTTATTTGGGCGCAACGTTTAAAATCTGTGAAAACTACTAAAAGTGATGGGAATTTCTCACATTTGAACAATAACAGTGGGAATCAAGTGAATAAAGATTATGGCGTGCATGGAAGGCTTACAAATGAGGATTATAAAAATAATACTACCACCAGTAATAATAATAATAATAGTAATAATAATAATAATAATGTGAATATATTTGCTCATTTAGCACAGCGTGCTGTGTCGAATACAACAAAATTAACTGAAAAAGATTATGATTATATTGATAAGAAGCAGAGACGTGGTGTAATTAAACACTGTGCGTCAGCGAAACAATTGACAAAGTAAGTGAACTTCAGTTTTGAATTGTTGCCATTTTTTATTTGATTCTTTTATATCACCAGTGGAACATTGGGCTACAAGATTAAGGTTCAACGTTTCTTTTACGTTGCTAACCTCACGCCCAACCTTCCCTCTTAACTGAGCTCACCACCGGCTAAGGAGGGTTTAGGGTTGTGTCAACTGGGTATTTAACTCCGACACATTTACAGCGCAGTTGGTGAGCATTCTGCTGTTGAACCACTGGCGAAACTTGAATTATCTCCTGCTTAAAAGGTATTTTCGACGACTTAGAGTGTAGACTAGAGATTACGGCTTTTAGAGAATAGTTTTGTAGGTTGTATTTGTTTTCGCTGCTCCTTTCTTCCTTATAAAATATTGAATATTTCTATAGTAATGTTTAGAATAACAAATTTAAGCGAACGAAATCGTTTTCAATTAGATCTCATTAGACTTAACTCTAACATCCAAAACTTTACAAATAAAGATTCAATTATGAACGAATCACGTTGTTTTGTCGATAGGATAATAAGATTGTGCATATAAATTGTGTTATTAGTCATAATTATAATAACAATCAACAACAAGGATGGAAAAGTGAGGCAATCTGTGATAACAGGTATAATGAAAAACAGCATGATTAAACAAACAAATGTTCAGGTAAACGTAGCAGTCGATAAAGCCTAAGAAAAACAAATGGGCTGATTAAGTAATGCTAGATTGTAAGGGAAGTAAATAAAGTACGTTTTCAATGAAGATGTGATAAGATTAAGGGATGTTAAGAAAGGGGTCGAAAATATAAATAAGGGGTTGTGGATAAGTCGTCAGTTGCTTAGGTATTAGTAGGTCAGCAAGACAGGGATAATGGCCGTACGAACTTCTTTTGAATGCACAGTTTACGTTTGATAGTTTGAATCCCTATCGCCCCAGCCGTGTGTAGTAGACGAATACAAAGTTTGTTGGAAAGAATCGATGGGATACGATGAAATACCTTGAGTGCTTTTGTTTTCTCCGCTACAAAATGGAGCTACGGATTGTTTTTGTCTGTCCTTTGCCAAACCACGATTGGAAATGCTCATCAACACGTTGGCTAAGCTGTCTAGCTGTACGCCCAACATAAATGTCACCTCATGTGCAGTTGAACTGATAAGTGCACATAGATATGATTTATAGGTTAAACGTTTATGGAGACCTTAGTAAACTGTTGCATTTGGTTTGAAAACTATGTCAGTAATCTAATCTTATTATTATCATTATTATTTGTTTTTCGCTATCCTAGTGGAACACAAGGCTTCAGCGACACACCTCAGTTCCACTCAGCCTTATGCTATCCCTTTCAACGGTCCCTACGATTAATCATAAGCTTTCTTTTTATCTTACATTGATCCCATCGACGTCATCCTGGAAAGCCAAACTACTTGCTTTCGAGCTGTGTTCCACTTAGAGATGTAGAGTGTGATTTTATATAAAAGACTCTTCAGTGATATCTGCAATGCATTTGGCTGACATAACGCAAAGTGGTTATATATATAAATATATACATTTGATTGTATACTAGTCAGTAACTAGTGTAATGTGTCTAGTCCTATCTTCGCTGCAGACTGAATTCTATCAGTCATGTCTGCAATGTGGCCACCATGCTAGGTGGCTCGCCATTACGGTGCACTGTGAATTGGTGGTATTAGATAGTTGGAGGCTTCCTCACCAGTAAGCAATCAAAAATATATCCAATACAGTTCTTCAGGAGGTCAGTCACGAGCCAGAATAACTCAGTGGTAACATCTCTGACTGCAGCACTGGGTGACGTGGGTTCGAATCTCAGAAGGGACATCAGTCCCTTCAAAGTTGCAGATACGCCCTGCTGGTGAGTGCCAACTAGCACGAAATCTAGGTCCAAGGCTTCTTGCTCATTGCCTCCAACCATCCAATACCAACAATATATATATACATATATGAATACGAGTTTGACTCATGAAGAGTAGACCTCTCTAACAGAAAACAACAGATGGCATATTACCGGAATTTCTTGTATGACGGAACCACGTACGACTGTGAATCACATTTTTTAAAAAGATACTTTACGAAATAGCTTATTCTTCCTGTAACGCCTAGTTGAATATGGGCATCAAGCTTGACAGGATTACCAGCATCATGCCCAAAATTCTCTTCTTACTGGGTTCATTCCCGACTTAGCATGGTTTAGAATTACATCAGCCAAGGAGATTAAAATCCAGACCACGTGAGGCGTGGATGGCAAGCATTCGACCGCTGCACCAATGAAGCCTTTTTTCTCCTTTATACAAATGGCAAACTTTTGTGCATAGCAGATTTGATTTGTCATTCTTGAAGTATATGCACATCAGTAAAGATTCACAAAATAACCTTTGTTTAAAATATCCACCTGGTCTTTTGTCATCCTTCATCAGGGTTTAACGAAATTGTGGGTAATATGATTACTCGCAAGGAACGCTCAACCTTAGTTTATCTGAGGCGAATGTAAATCTGAAGGCTAAAGTATTCCTGTTCTATAATGTAAATCCATTTCTAGGGAATAACGTATATCGCTTTCATTTGTTGTTTCGTTTGTCACTGTGCGTCGGTGGCACAGTGGTTAGGACTCTCGCCGACCATGCACATGCTCCGGGGTTCGATCTCCTGCGGACGCACACCCGATATCTATGGTCGGCCTGCCAAATTTGGGCTACCGATATCCACGCTGAAAATGCCATAGTTGTACTGAAAATACGGTGTGGCATCAAGCTGTAATCAAAAATATAAAATATAAAAATATATAATTCACGCTCGTGTAGTAGGACTGAAGTTTCCATCTTTTACTTGATAGGTACTAAAATTATTGTGAGAAGTATATTGTGTAATCATTCAAGTTAGATTTATATGTATAAGCCATCACTGAAGTGGGAATAACTGTAATTGCAAAAAATAGCGTATAAAGTTTTCACTGACTAGTAATCAGATGTGTTTATTTGCATCCATCAAGCTATAAAACACACTCACTGGTTGCACGACACCTACTCAAGAGTTAGTGTGTAGGAATTTTTGTCTCAGGTTTCATAAAAAATTTAAGTCTAATAGAGAACTACTGAAAGCCAGCGAGTAGTGAACTGCTGTTTCATCCTGACTTGAATGACTTTCAGCAGTGCGCATCTACGGTCTCGCAGGGAATCGAACCCAAGATGTTCAGGTCTCTAGGTGAAGCTCGTTCACTATCCAGCTACTTGAGCTAGAATCCAATGTTCCATGAATTCTGAATTCTGTCTATACACGATTTTAACACAACCACCCATCATTTTCCTTACCCCCAACCTTGCAAACTAACTCTTGTGAATAAAAATATTTTGTTTCATGTCTAAGCTACTTTTATTCCCCTTAAAATTAACTCATCAAAAGAATAAGCAAAATTCCGTTTAAATTACTTTTACATAAATTCACAAAAGAAAAGTGATTTATTTATTTATTTAGTTACACGACAGTGATAAATCTATTTATGCTTAAATCCCAACAACATTAAAACTGTTTTGAATAAACCGCTGAAAATGTTCAATGTGTTCAATGGTTTCTAGGCAACCCCAAAGCAAGCTTTTTGCTTTGAATTCTTTTAGTTGTGTAGATAAATAAATAATTAAATAAATAAATAAATAAACAGAGGCTGTATTTCCTTTGAGCAGGTGATAATTTGGAAAAAAAATAATAATTTATATTATTAGGATAATGATGAACAAATTGAATACTGTTTACGTGATTTAATTTGAATATATTTACATGGGTGTAGTTAGTCATTATTAGTGTTATTATTAAAGGGCTTTATTTTTGAAGCAAAACTTTAGAAGACTTAGGCATGTTGTTTGTACTTTTTATCCTTTTTACACTTAAGATATACACAAAGTTTGCTCTTAAAACGAAGAATGGAAGTATGAAAAATGTAAAGTTTGTTAAAATATTTACTATTATTATTCTTGGTAAAGTTATATATAGAAAACAACCTACAGAGCGCTAAGAAAATGAGAACAAGTATTATAAAGCATCTTTCTGTCTAGAGTACATCCTTTTCAGGTTGTGTTTAGCTGACTGTGACTAGAACTTGTTTTTATATAATCGCCACATTTCAAAACAATTCACGATAGAAACACATACGCTAGAAACCACCAACGGAGAAACCTGTTAAGCGTGCATCTTGCTGTCCAAGAAATCCACAGTATCTCACGCTCTACACAAAATTAGTATTGTTGTTTCCTTACGTTCAGAGTGGAACATATTGCTTCATTAATACATCTCGGCCTTGTTCTATTTTCTGCTGTCCTCTTCACCTGGGTCCACGATTTCCGATTTTCTCTCATTTCCCCCTCCCACCATCTCTCGAACGATCCACTCGTTGCTTCCCTTTCAGGTCCCACTCGAGCGATGGCCTGCATTGCTCATGATGTCATTTCACGGTCTTCTCAGTGGCATTTGCCCTATCCATCACCATTTTCTCCTACAGATTTGTTGAACGATGGATGTTTGGTTGGTTTGTTCTCATAGTTTCTTGTTGCTGATTCTTTCTGGATGGCCAATCGATCTTCATTGCGGAGCCCATGAAATCAGCTGTCGATAAAAGCCTGCCGTGGCCTGTTGGAAATGCTTTTTGTGACGCGAGCGTAGGGAAAGTTTTTGACCCATATAGAAGAATTGGCTTGACAATGGTGTTGAAAATCGGAATCTTGTTTTTTACGCTGAGGCGTAGTGAACAAGATTTCAAATTGGTTTCAGACATATGAAGGTGTATCTTGCCTTTACGATAATGGCTGGCTGGCTGGCTTTTTGACATCTTTATCTGTGCTGTCACCTTTAGTTGAAGTGACCTCTTTCAAGCTTCTTCTGTTGATGGTGGGTGGTGCTGGTTGTTGTCACTGTTGGTTGGTTGGTTGGTTATCTTCAACATCTTCACCTTCTCTTTATTCACTTGGAGTTCTGTCTTCACTGCTCACCTCTTCTACCAGTTGGTTGG